GGGAAATTTCTTGAAAACATATTCCAATATTGAGGTGGAGAGTTTCGAGCTTTGAACTGCTAGATACACATTTGTTTGGCTTTGAAGTTATCAACCAGGGTCAGAGAGAATTTTTACAAATACCCTCGACCTGATGTAATCAATTTGAATTATGAGAGTCTGTATTTTTAATTAATTCAGTTCTTGTAAATTCTTCATTAGTTTTCCAGAAAAACTTTGAAATGTGAGAAACTGTAATAGTATTTTCTTCTTAGCTAGCTTTTGTAAGTTATCAGAGTTTCTCTATGTTACCTATTATGTTTCCTTCGAAAAATTTGAATTTTAGGGAAAATGAGCTCCTTTAATACAAAAAATTTCAAAAGTTCCCTTTTATTAGCTTTTGTCATAAGAAACAATGTGTTAAAAAGAAACATTTTCCTTGCAAATTAACTTTATCTAGAAATACCTACAGATTTTAAGAAAAATTTGGCCACATGGAGAAACCAACATTTAATTATACGAACGATTATACCTATCCTTTATCCTTTATTATGTTATAGCCTAGTAAAGGACGCAGATAGTTTCTAATACAGTGCCTCATTAAACCACAGTGACAGTCCTATTTTTGATTGGCTCTTTTAAATCACCATATGGAAAAAGAACAAGAATATGGCAACGGGGGCATAGCTTACTTCCATGTCTTAGCTCCTAGATTCTTATTTGAAATGAGCAAGAATATGGCGGCGGGATTTTATTTTCAGTCACTACTGTAGTTGAGTTTCCAGGTTGATTATCAGGGTTTCTCCATGTTATTATGTTTTCCTGGAAAATTTTGAAATTTAGGGAAAATGAGCTCCTCCTTTAATACAAAAAGTTTGGTTTTATTAGTTTTTGTCATAAGAAACAATGTGTTAGAGATAAACCTTTCACATTTTCCCTCGCATTCTCCTTACAAAATCAGTTTTATTGCCAATGGTTTCTAGATATACAGATTTCAAGAAAGATTTGGCAACATGGAGATCAACATTTTAAATTCATTGTACTAATGGCCATTTCCACCGACCATTTTAAGGGAGGTTTAACAATAATCAACGTTTAAAGTGACATTTTAACAATGCAAAAATGTCGCTTTAAACGTTGATTATCAATAAACCTCCCTTAAAATGGTCGGTGCAAACGGCCATTAGTAACAAGAGTGCACCGATTATACCTATCCTGTATTATTTTATAGTCTAGTAAAGGACACAGATAGTTTCTAATACAGTGCCTTAATTAACCACAGTGGCCGTCCTATTTTTGATTGCTTCTTTTAAATTACCTATAAAATATTCATATTGAATTTTAGAATAAATAAATAAGAACTAAGAAGAAGTCATCTTACAAATTCAGATCGATAGTTCAGATCATTTATTTAAAATAACAGCTTTATTCTCGCGGTTTCACCCGCCGTTAAATTTAAAAGAAATTGGACAATATTTTGAAACAACAATAATAATATAATCTAAAACAACGTAGATAAGCTGCGGAATACGTTCGAATAATATTATTTCGTCATCGAATTCATCTTCGCTGCTACTACCTGCTACATAAATCCAAAAATGCAACAACCTTTTCTTTGGGCAGACATTTTTATGTACGATAAGTGTAAGCAAAAACAAAAACAAAACAAACTGCACTCCACGAGCCTCCCTAGCTCGTGCCAAAAAATGCGCACTGAGTGCATACGTAATTGCACTGAATTTCAAATGGAAAATGAAGACTGATGATGTGCAGTCAAATGGAATATAAAAATTGCGCTGAGTGCACCTCCGTGTAACAAATGGAAAACTCCATTGAATTTTAAGGCTTTTTTTCTTTAAGCATCTTTTTGAGTTTTTGGTTATCTTTACCCGATAGGTTCGGCTTTCCGGACGGCCCCACTTCTGGTTGGTGGGTACTGGAACAAGAGATTTACATTGAAATTCATTTGGTTACAACTTTAAGAAGGTGATTAACATGGGAAACAACCTTTCCAATGTTAGTATACAAGGTTTTGATGAAAATCATCACCAACTCCTCACCTGGAACGGACAGCTACCAAATGGATTCTGAAAGCTTTCCTACCTCAACTATCAAATCATTATGTCCATGATATGGACACAGACATTATTTCAGAGAATCCAGAAAGTAAAAACAGAAATACAAAAATATGCGGAAAATGTGCGTCTGCATTTGATGATGAAAAACGATAGAAATAGAAGATGGAAAAACGATAGAAATAGAAGATGGAACAAGATAATCAAGAATCAGATAGAAACACTGAACCAGAGATGACATTTTTTCACACAAAAAAACTGTTGGTAAAGGTAAATTCGAGGAGTCGCTTCGATTTATAGAGAGATGGTACACGGAATACACTCTGCACATCAACCCCAAAAAGATTGAAATGGTCCTATTCACAAGAAAGAGGAAACTGGTACTGCCGACAGCACCCAGACTCTTAAACAAGGAACAAAGTTTTGCCGCCGAGGTCGAATATCTGGAAGTGACACTCGATTGCAAACTAACATGGAACTCTTATATTGTTAAGAGAATACATAAAGCATATATCAACTATTAACAGTGTAGACGTACTATCGGGGGTTCTCCCCCAATATAGTTATGTGAATCTATATAACCATCATCAGGCCTATGCTTACCTATGGGGCTATTGTCTGGGGACATAAGACCGAACTATAGGCCGAAAACTAGACCACGTTCAAAGAATGACATGCCTCAACATAACTGGTGGAATGAAAACCACATCAACTACGGCTTTGGAAGTAATTCTATGTTTGACGCCTCTGGATACTAATGTCAAGGAGGTCGTTTTAGCCACAATGATGCGATTCCGCACTGTTGGAATAGAACCAACTGCAGAAGTCGGTTTGCAGAGAGCCCGCATATGGCGTGAGGCAACCAATTCGCTTCCATTGTTGGAGGCCAGAGTGGACTCTGCAACCCCATGTTTCTTCTTCAAAAAGCACAACGCAATCAACACGGAAGGCATTGGAAATAATACAGTGGCAGGGGTAAGTAACATCTACACTAATGGTTCCAAAGCTCAAACAGGTTCGGGATGCGGAGTATACTCCAAAGCTCTCAAACTGAACCTAACTATAGCCCTTGGCTCTATGCCTAATGCCCTTTAAACGGCAATTACTGGCATAACCACCCCGGCGAACAAACAGTCAGCAACAATATCACTGACCATTTCGTGCACATCCACGCGGACTTAGCACTATCTAGACCGCGACTTACGTCAGAACTAGTATAAAATTGCCACCGTACACTCACTAAAGCGTCGCTCAACAACACGGTGGTAGTCAGCTGGATCAAAGGCATGATCACAGCAGATGCAATGAGGCTGCCGATGCTCTAGCTAGAAGAGCCGCCAGGCTACTAGCCTTCTGGACCGGAGCACTTCGTAGGGCTGACCATGTGCGGCCAGAGATATGATAAAAAAACATTCCCATACCCTTTTCAGAAAGCGCTGGGACGATACAATTGGTTGCAACTTATCCAAGGAATTGCTAAGCTACCCAGATAACGCTGCAGCGAGCCAAAAGCTGTCGTTGATCAGGAAAAGGCTACGCCTAATAACGGGCATCTTGACTGGCCACTGTCCGTTAGGGCCAAATTATGGACTGACTGGTAAGCGTCTGGTTGTTACCTAGCAGGTACTTTCTATGCACTAGATAATAGAAAGTACCTGCTAGGTAACAACCAGACACTTACCAGTTGGTCCATAATTTGGCCCTTAAACAAACATTTGTTTAGTTGCATCTCAGTACCACATCCTTGTGTAGGGTTTGAAATCAAGAAGACGAGACGATAGAGCACATTCTCTGTGACTGCACTGCTCTTTCACCAATACGCAGAGTCAGATTAGGCCCTCGACGACGTCATTGCCTACGTGAAATCGCTAAGCTGGATGACGAGCTAGGGATGACCTCTCCTCTTGTGGAGGCGCACAATTGGCCTAATGTGGCCTAAGTGCTGTGGCATACCATACCACTTTTCCAAACTTACAGATACAGATAGGTCCTTATACAACGTTGACTATGCAAAAACCAATTTGTGGCAGTACCTGTGGCGCTCTCCTATTGTCCTTTATCGCAAAATCTTAATCCGCTTTTTTTTAGCCTACAAATTAATGCTATATGTATTGAGATGTTATGATCAATGCAGTTTTCGATCCGCCTTCCAATTGTTTATAGATGATCGACTGTATTGATTTTCTCCACTTAATACTGCTTGTTTGGCAGGCTGATAAAAATTTAGCTTATTTGTTAAGTCAGAATTTCAATTAGGAGCTTGTTAAGTGGGATAGGAGGTTAATTGGCTTATGATTGGAAACACTGCTACTGTATCCTCTGTTAAATACTAATATAAACTTCTCTATTATGGTATTTATATAAACTGCATACAACATTTGAAGACATTTAGTTAATATCAAGTTTGTATATTTATATATTTTCTTGAAAATTATTGAAAAACTTGTGAGGCATTGCGTTTAGTCCAAGAAGATCAAATGTGTGTTCGTTCAACTTTATCGATCCATGACTATCGAGGAATAGGTAAAATAAATACTTTTTTTTTGCAAATGCCAATAGTTCCCAAGTTTTTATTCGCCCAGGAACACTAAATTCTATATGTTTAGTTGACTCTATCTACTCTAATAATTGACAACTTATCATTCAACCCTCCCAAAAATTATAAAATGTTGAGCTGTTGCTGCTCACACGAGTTTAATATTTGTGGTTTTTTGCTTTATACTCTACTAGCTTGATTGTTCCTTGCTGAAAATAATTTCACAATTGTAGTAACTCGTTTATTTGACTTTGAATCAATTTAGATAGTACGAGTAATTAGATAGGTATTAGCAAGTAGTTAACTAGTATAACTCTTTTATAAATGATTTCTGCATTAGAAAAATTGTATCTATTTAATTCATGAAAATTTTCTTTCGATATTAATAATAATATTTCTCCTTATTCCAGAATCGAGAGGTAAGAAGAAAAGAATCGCAAGAATCCTGCTTCCAATTCTGCTCCTCCTAAAAGTCAAAGCAGCCATCATCCTACCAATAATTCTCTCCATCATAGCCTTAGTATCATTTAAGGGCTTTGGCCTGAGCCTTGCCGCTTTAGCTGTAGCTGGAAGTACAGCCTTCAAAAATATCTTAGAACATGTTGGATCTAAATCTATTTCATATGAAGTCGTACCTTCGCCTGTAGGACACTGGAGCAGATCTGGTAATGTCGAGGGTACTTTACCTTTGGGGTACCAGTTATAAATAATTAGTATGTTTATTTAATATTTATTTATTTTATGTTATTGTCAGTTTAATAAATGTTTGAGAAATTGAAGCTTCCTTATATTAGACCTTCTTGAATGGTGGAAAAAAAAACACATTACAAGTTTTCTTTACAATATTTATTATGCAACGATTTATAAATGCGAGTATAAATGCTACAGAAAATTCAAGACTTATTATTAATCTTCTTAATTATGTAGGTAGTTGTAGGTGGGAAACTTACTGCATACAATTTTTATGATTTTAATGTTTTCTGCTTTACGTTAAATACCTATCTACAATTCAAGCTACAAAAAGGTTCTTATACTATCATACTTATTCCTAGTATAGTCTTGGAATATGAAATACATTAACATAGATGACTGTTTAGAATTTTCAACTTTTTGTGAAAAATTAATAGGCAGGCAAAGAAGATCACATCAAACTCAAAAATGACTTACTTTCAAAAATACTGTTTTATATTTGCGCTGAAGGGACCAAGGAATAGATCGCTTGTTTTTTTAAAAAATGTTGGAGCCAAATTTTTCACAAAGGCGATATTCAAGAAGAAACGCTGGAATTTGGAATCTCTTGTGGATGAAACCTCGAGTTGCTGAATATACTAGAGCTGATTAGGAGTGGGAATTTTTAATATTTCATATATAAATCTCTTTGCTTAGATATTTACTCAACTTCTTTCTTCGAGGCTATAAAGTGTTGCAGAATGGAATAAAGATTTCATCGACAATTATTCAAGTGATAGGTACTTGAGATACTGCTCATATTTATTCAAGTTCAGAAGCTAGTGATTCTGCAATTTAAATTGAAGAAAAATAGATATCCGTTGCAGAGGTTTTAGCAGCGGTGTGATGAAATTGAAAAAATGCCAGACCAGATTGAGTCTAAAAGCTTTACTTTAGTCTATAAGGATATAACAAGCCAGTTTAGTCCATCTTTACAGCGACTTAGTTACATTCTTCACGTCCGAAATTACGAACACATCTTCCTTCATCACCTTTAAAAGCCAAATAATTACTATAAGCATCGTAGTTTTCTTGTATAAGTCGACAATCAATAAATCTAGTGTCCGAGGTATTTTTTGTAGTACGTAAATTTGTTGGAGATTGAAAAGTAAACCATTTCGATCCAAAAATAACTATCAAAACTTGCTATTAGGATGAGCAACAAAAAATTATTATTAAGGCTCGATACAAACTGTGAAAATAGGCACCTAGTCTGATTTTAGGTGCCTACTAGTTGCATCAATAACTTTTACAACTCAAGTAGATACCAGTTTCTATTTGGACATACGTAAAAGTTTTAATTTGAAATATCCTAAACTATTGAATATGTTCTCTTAGCTCGAAACATTAGCATTTTACATTTCAAGTATATAACTTTTGATTGTTTTAAATTAACCTCTGTACGTCACATACTTTTGCCATTTATTTGAGTCAGCGGAGAAAACGTCTGATAGGTACCTTACTCTTCGTGATATTCAGTTTAATATTATCTATTCATCTTACATAATGTAAGAACGTAAGTAAATCTGCAATAAAACGAGGTGAATCCTAATAATTGTAGAATGCATACTTGAGCTTATGAGTTGTGTTAGAATTTACTTAGTTTTTATTCATGGGAAGGCTGAAAAGAAAGCTACCTATTTCATTTACAGTCGAAAAAAAATACAAATATGTATATTAAAATACTAGAGGAGATACGTAAGATAAATAATCGTACCAAAATTCCGCTAATTACAAAATAATTGCCAAAAATGATACAGTTTCTGTATCACCAATTAACTAAAAGTGGCTAGTTACTGTAAGAACAATCTCTCACATTCACTTTATTAATAATTATTAGAATTAACTTGATAACTAGGGCGTCAAGAATAATTGACTTCTTCACAAAGGAAAGTTATAAAATGCTAAAGAGCCAAATTATTTTTAAATTTACTTTTTAATTTATTTCTTTAAATTATGTAGGAACTTGATTTATAAAAAAAATTCAGCAGAATAATGCCAAGCATTTGCAACCATTTCTGAAACAATTAATTACAGCAATTTTTCAATAAAAAAACTTGGACAATTCGCATAATACTGGCTTTATTTTGAAGGCTTAAAAATACTTAATCTTCAACTTCGCCAACCAAGCATTATGAAGGCGACAAAAAAAGTATTAGGTAATAAAAATAACTTTTTCTAGGTGTAAAAATTAATGAAAATGCTACAAATCCTAATTTTCAACTGCTAATAAACACCCAAACAGTCAAATCGCCTCAAAATCTTTCAAAACAATTACTTACCCTTCTACACATTTATACAGGTACTTCTTACCCCGTCAAGTGTTCAATAGCGTCTAAAGATGTTTACGCCTTAACATCCAAACGGAAATTGATGACGGTGGGTGATAGTCAAAAGATGATAATCACTGAATGGAACCGGATACTTTGGCCTTAATACTACACCTAAATGATTCCTTATAGAAATTAATAAGAATGCGTCTACTGAAAATGTTTATTGAGAAAATGTGGAGCAAATAATCGTGACATCCTTCTAAATACTTTCCTCCAATCCATAACATTTTTTTTTTACTTTTGCGTAAATCATCGAGTAGTAAGTCCAATGGCGTAGTATCAGATTGTTATAAATGTGAATATAAACAAATTCCTGCTCAACACTAAAAATAAAATATAAAAGGATCATAAACACCAAAAAGTAAGATTCAATATCAACTAAGCGACACGTTTATTACAAAATATCTAGTAGAATAGAAACCAATGAAGTAGTAAGAAGGTTGGAATAGCCCTTTGCCTATCTACTCAATACATATACTTGCGGCCAACATTCGAGTGAAAAAACAGGAGAGATCCATGAGATTTTCCTGCCCTTACTAGCGCTATCTCACTCAGGGTTAAAGTGAGAGATATAGAAGATCCAATAGATTTTTTGCCCTTACTAGCGCTATCTCATTCTGGAATCCATTGAATGACGCAAAGCCCATTCCAAACCTTCTTTCTACTTCATTGATAGAAACTCGATGATAAAAACAATTTTTTTTTTTAAAAAGCAGCTAAGCTGGAACAATAATGAATTTGCATCTTCTTCTAAGCCCTGTAACAAGAAAAAATATGCCTATGTATATTTACATTTATTTAAATTATCTATACTCAATAAAATAGCGTTGATTGTGAACAAATTGATATGATTTTTGGTTTACTAACTTCAGTTCAAAAAGTTTCGTTGAGGTGAAGTTTTATAAAGTGATTTTTGTTTTTTTCAAAATAAGTACTTTTCGAAAAACAAGAAGCAAATGTTAGATAAATGGGGGCGCACTTTGTCATTCTAAATGTGCCTTGTAGACAGTGGAAATCGAAACGGTTAGTTCAACCGTCCGCCACTGAGCATGAGATTTTTTCCTGATAATGGTTGCATTAGTTTTACTCGTTTGATAAACAACTTGGTATGATGTACAACAGGCACGTACTATGTTAAATTTCATGGTCACGAAAGGCTTTGGGTTTTGCACGAATAATCTTGTTTAATGTAAAATGAATAAATAATAGTGTTTATGTACGACAATTGTTTTTATGATCATGAAAAATTTATATGCACCTATATATTCGGCCTAGCTATATATAAAACTAGAAGAAAAAAAATCTTAGGGAAAATATCTACATAAACTTCAAAGCCTTATCCAGGACTTCACCCAAGGCAATAATTTGTTTTCAAAACTAAGGTCTGACATACGCAGATGAAGCAATAAGCAAAAGATAGCCAGCATAGAGATTTATGATAATAACAGGTTTTAGTTTAAGGACCTGCTCCCTGGAATTGAGTGCTAGAATTATTTGATATGGAGAAATGTTTGCGAGTAGATTATGAAGCTGCTCAATCAAACTGACACGTCAAACACCAAAACTGTTGCCCAAAGTGAAAAAAGTTAATTAATGATTATGTTACTTGAATATTTCGTCGTTGAGTGAGTGTAAATAAATTTATGGACGTTTGCATCAACCATTTTAAGGAGGGTTTAACGATAATCAACGTTTAATTTTTACATGTAAAAATGTAAAAACATTGATTGTCGTTAAACCTCCCTTAAAATGGTCGGTGCCAATAGCCACAAATAATTTTTAGCTTTAGCTTAACCATACATGAATAATGGTGAAAAATAATTGATTGGCCCTAAAGAAAATTATTATATTTCAATTATAAATATTGTTATTTTTTTTTTGCAATCGAAAGATTCTTTTCCCAATTTCGAGTTCTGGTGTTGTTTTGAACTTACTCGTACTTCAGATTATTTTTAATATCAAATGCAAATAAACGTGTGCTACTTTTGCTCTTGGACTGTTTAAATTTTCTTCGACTTGCACCGGCCCTGTAAGATGCCCATTCATAGAAGATTATCTCCTGCAAATTGCATTTTAGCCACTGGGGAGGTAAATGTAACATGATTCGCAAATTTCACCTTAACACGTCTTACCTTACGGTTGAAACGGATTAGGTGCACTTTTCTTTATTGATGCATATTTCGTTCGTTTCACTTAAGGAACATGTTTTTGTTTTTTTGCCTTACATACTCCTCAAGATTACTATATAAACTAGATGCTACTGCAACGACATATCAAATGGTGAACATTACTCATTAAGTATGTTTACTGGGAGATCAGCTGTCCTAGTGTTAGTGCTTTTGGCCCTTGAGGCCCTGGCTGAAGATACTACTACGCCTTTACCAAGCCCTTCGCCGCAAATCCACGAAAAAAGTGATAAAAGTGAATACAAAAAATCGTTGACAAGAGACTGTTCGAATGTGTATACCGCTACTTGCTTAAAGTTGGACATAGTTTCTTGGGTTGATAAATTGAACGAGGATGACGATTACAATGTACTGCCGGGAGTGTCTTTAGTGCGTGAAAATGGAAGTGCTCGATCTAGTACTGCCGATATTGTTGCCGAATTAGCTCGTGATTTCCCAAATGATCCCGACGCTCGTCTGGATGCATTTTTGATGAAAAAGGTCACCTCATATCTAAACAGTCATGCAGTGCGCTTGGATTTATTTGACAGGAAGGCCAGAGATCTAGGACGTGGACGTGGAGGTGGTGGAGGAGGCGGTGGCGGTAAAGGCGGTGGTGGAGGTGAAGGCAATGGTATGGGAATGATGATGGCTGCTGGAGCAATGATGAAGGGTACTTTAATGGCTTTAGCTTTAGGTAAGTAACCAAATTAACTGCAAAAATATCAAGTACTAAATCATTTTTTTTTTTCCAGGTGGTATTGCTGCGATAGCAGGTAAAGCCCTTATGACCGGTCTTATTTCTCTTTTGCTGTCGGCAATCATTGGTCTTAAAGCACTGACCCATCATGGCCACAAATCGACTACATACGAAATAGTATCAAAACCGGTATACACTCACTCTCAGACTCACAGTGAGTCGCACGAGCATGGCGGTCATGGATATGGACACTCATCCTATGGAAGAAGCTTTGACGTACCTCTTCCATTAGGCTTGCATCCAGAGTACAAACCCTAATCAAGTGATATTGTTATAAAATAGTTTAAGTTTAAATAAGTACCAATGTTTCTAATTTATTTTAATTTATTATTGTTTTATTGTTGAATAAGATGGGAATGATTTAATAAATATTTGCAATTCAAGGTGTGTGACTTTATCTTCAGTAAATTGATTAAGAAACCTAAATTAAATCAGATCGCGAATCTACGATTTTTAACGCTGACATACGGCAGCTGTTGCGTTTCCAATTATTTTAATATTTACCTGTATGGCGTTATTTGATTTGCACTTATTTTTACAGATTAAGTGTCTCCGGATTCATTGAAGCTTTCACATAGACAATTTTAAGGAAACAATATATAATATGCATTTGCTTGTTTTCACAAAGCCTGAAATAACAGTAGCGTATGTCACACACAACTAAAGCCACTCTTTACCGGATTAGAAAGTTTTATTCTATGTTTCAGAGTGTGATGAAGTCTGCGAGTGTAAAATAGCATGTTGTCTACAAAGTTTAAGAAGCCCTTCGATACTCCTATACTCTGGAAGTACTTTTCGGAATTGCTTTTTCTTTTTTTTTTTCTAATTTTAACATGTTATCTGCCACCTGTACAGCCGGCTGCCAACTGATATGTACTTGAAGCGCCGCACGAAATATACGGCGTATTACGAAAATCTCTATCCATTTTTTTTTTACATTGGCATGCTCCTATTACCAAACCAATGTTGCACATGTTTACTTGTACGCCGAACAACACTGGTATACGAGGAATTGCACATAACCCGAACCGCTGGCGTACAATTTTTCCAAAAACACACCTCTCCTGTTGTACGCTGGCTGTTCAGGTGGCCCAATCATAATAAAGTCAATTGGTCGCCGGCTGTACACTGTACAGGGTGTCAACTTCACAATTCTTGAAAATGTCAAGTGGCAGTTGACGTGTTTAAACTATCTGCAGTGTCATTGCCTGATCTTTTCTATCATTTATTTGATGACATGTTATAGGGTGAACGAATTAGAGAGCTGTCAACGTTCCAATCAACGTGATCTTTTTTTAATATCGGCCCGGTTGCACAAAAGACAAATTCAATACTATCATGAGCGGAAGAAATTAAATGACGATTAACCCTCCGTTTGAATACGCTAAGGTTGAGGAAGGAGATAGGGGGTTCAAGAGGTGGAGAGTACGCCACCAAAAAGAAGCCCTCTATTTAGTAGAGATCCACATACGGATGGAATGTTCGTGAGGTTCTTGTGGTTCTCAAATAACTTCTCCTAGCTGGAATGTGGCTGGAGAGATAATCAGATTAGAAAGATATCTGTAAATCAGATAGCGCGTATGGACGGTAATAACGTCAGGAGTTATTTTTTTAAAGTAAAGCGGTATCATACTTTCAAATTAGAGTTATCGGAAAACAGTTTAACGTAAAATTTGCCTGTTCGCATCCGTTATTTTTTAACCTTAGCGTAACCTGTACCTTGTTGTGATTTGATTAGTGTTGTCTGTTGTTTATGGTCAGGGACAGAGGATTTGCTTTTTTACTATTTTTTGAACAATCCATATTCACTTGAATACAAAAAAAATAATAAAATTAACAAAAACAATAAACATAACATAACCTATATTATTCCACTGCGTTATTTCTAGGCGTTATTCGAAATAGCGCTTAACGTAAATGCTGGGTAAATTACGTTATGCGGTAACGTTATTTTGGTACGTTGTGTTAAAAATCGAATCGCGCATAGGTTTAATGTCAAAATAACTTAAGCGCTAATACTGCATGACACTATTTGGGTTACCGATATCTCTCTATCTCTCATGGTAATAGCGATAGAATAACGACAACCTTGCGTCTATGTTCGAGAGATTGCAAATAATCGATGAGAGTCGGATTGTCGATCATTTTCATCACTCTTCTTTGTACTGCATCTAATAGAGCCAACAAATGCTTGGGAGCATCGCTCCAGATGTAGGAACAGTATTCCATACATGATCTAGGGTCGTATTTTCGAACTCATTCGAGTACATTTCGTACACGAAATTTCACTGACAGCAATGTAAATTAAATGGGGAGTATTCGAAATCGTATCAAATTTCGTATGCGAGAATATCCCCTGTATTGAGCCTTATAAAGGAGAAGAGCTTGTTTAAAAGTGAAGAAGTTTATTGCACAAAAAAAAATTTAATGGCGATCGAAGATACATGAACATTTCAAGACAAGTTGATCGATGTGGTCACCCCAAGAAGAGATACTGAGGGATTGATAGAAAGGTTTTGTTCCCACATCCTTAAACCTGGGTTATCATCGGTGGAAGATTTTTTTCTTTTGAATACTGTTGCTTGAGTGTATACACACCATCGACCACAACATGCAGTAACCTGCCTTCCAAAATCTCCCCAGCCAATGGCAAAATTCGTTCGGAAGACCATACGGTAGAAGTTTGCTGAGGAGACCTTTGTGCCACAACTGATCAAAAACCTTAGAGATGTCCAATGTTACAATTCTGGATTCGCCATGTTTTTCGAGAGTTGAGTTCCAAATATCCGTACGACTGCTAATCTTTTAGGACGAAACATGTAGGTACCTACTGTTTGTCAGAGATGAGCTTATTGGATTCAAGGTATTCAACCAGGTTCAGGTTGACTGCCTTCTCCACTACTTTCAAAAGTACGGATCAGAGCTGTCAGTAGGTACTTCAAGTAAATTACTTGGAAAATGTATTTCAATTACTTTTTAGTATTTGAAGTACTATAATTCAAATACTTTTGTTTTTGAATATTTGTACTTGATTCTGCAAATACTTTCAATGAAGTATTTGTATTTGGTACTTGGACTTACAAAAAAAGTAATTCAAATACTGGACATTTGTACTCAAAATACTTACAATATTTCAAATACCCCAGAAAATAAAAAGTATTTGAAATACCCCAGAAAGTAATTCAAATACTTCTCCAAATGTGAAATTAACATGTCCTACAGCAGATCGGACTGACGATTTTTTTGAACTGGATGGTTCCCACTCCCTGGAAAGTCTTTAAAATAACAATAAAAGAAAATTCGAACTAGAAATTATTCAATATGCACAGGCAGAGGATACTAGTATAGATATAGATATAAAATCCTTGGGTAGGTTTCCTGTCATAAAAAAAGTTTTTCATAGGTACAATCACTGATACAATACGTGTCTTCCGTCATAAGCCCCTGTAGAAAGACTTTAGTTTTGCAGAAATAGTGAACACACCTCGAAGGCATAACAATCCCTCTGCACTTTATTTCTCAATCATCCTTTTCTAGATAAATCTGCATCTGGGAATCTGGAATCTCTGTAGTACTTTTTTAGAGGTATTACAATATACAGGGTGTTCCTAAATATCATGTACAAACGGAAGGGGTTGATTCTCTGGCTTATTTTATGACTAAAATTTCTAATAAACATAGGTCCGCAAACGCTTCGTTACCGATCTACAGGGTGTTGAAATTTCAATATTTTTTTAGTTTTTTCTTTATACTTAGCTCCTGCAATTTTTGAGGAATTTAGCTCAAATTTGGAATATAGGTTACGCAATAGGAGCTAAATGATTTGACGTGCAAACGTTTGCCAGGATTTACAGGGTGATATTTTTTTAGGGGTCAAGCCCCCTTTTCTGCCCCTGGACTTTTTTGCAATGCGCCGCTGGTAGATCCTAAAAAACAAAATGATTTTTCTACATTTTTAGAAACTTTTTGTTCACTTGTAGTTTTTTCGTATCACCGACCCTTATCGAGAAAAAAATTAAAAGACAAAATCTCTGTAATTTGCTAGATGAAACTACAGTGACACAATAAACCTTTTCTATCTACAGTGACGACAATAGAGGTCCCGCCGCCATATTTTTGCTCATTTTCAATAGGAATCTAGAATTAAGCCACGCCTTCGCCGCCATATTCTTGCACATTTTTTATATGAATACATTAAAATTTTAACACCCTGTGGAGCGGTAACGAAGCGTTTGCGGACCTATGTTGATTAGAAATTTTAATCATAAAATAAACCAAAGAATCATTCCCTTCCGTTTGTACATGATGTTTAGGAACACCCTGTATATTTTTAGCTTTCAATACAATTTGAAAAAAAAATCAATGAATAATTTGAATTCCTTTTAAATGGGTACTTGAAGTACTTCTTAATATTTCAAATACACATAGGTATTTGAAATATTTAATTGAGTACTTGAAATACTTACAGAGTATTTGAATTATTTTACTTGAAAAAATCAAGTAGTAAATTGAATTACTTGGAACTTGAAGTACTTTTTAAATTGAAAGTATTTAGTATTTGTACTTGCAATATGAATTTCCCGTAATTGATACTTGGTATTTGAAATACTATTTACCTGTATTTGTGACAGCTCTGGTACGGATATAAGTGAGATGGGACGATAATTGTTAGGAAGTTTTTTCTTGGCCGTTGTCGCGATGCGCTGCACTCTGCTACTACTTTTAAGGCCGTCATGATAATAATTTGAAAAACCTTTCCTCAGTTTTTATATTCAATCGAAGAATTTAATAAAAAGTTGTGTACATAATTATACAGAGAGGACCAGGCTACTAGACACATAGGCTTTGATGGGACCAGTCGACTTATAGCCATTTCACTGCAGGATCGTCATGGTAGATCATTGTTTGTCCCTGCATGTTATTAAAATTCGTGCATTTTGGGCAGCTCGGCTATCCTCGGCTTCGGCAGCAGAACCGCCTCGATTGGCGTAAACCATGTCCTATTATTCCTATGCTAAATTAACTACTTTCATATTTAAATTTGAAAAAAAAACCGTTGAATATTCTTATAGCTATTACAGTGAGGTTTTCCAGAAACCATGCATGCATAATAAACAAAATACGGGAAAGAGGTCATTCTATACAAGCCCCTAACAAGAATTAATTGGACAAAATTGATAGCAAAATAGTATAATGTGATGATGTTTGGTATAGTATTTATTTAATTTATAATGAAAGCATATACAGGGTCTGTTCCTTATAATTAGTGCGGCTTCTACAGCTTAAACAAAACAAAAATTAAAAAAAAGTTAAATACAAAAGTTGTAGGGTTTTATCCCTACTATTTTTTGCAAATATCAAAACATGCAAATGACAGATGTCAACTGTCATAATGACATTTATGACATTTTTTTGTATATTTTTGGCTAGAATGATAGATTTTTTTCTTCTGATTCTAGTATACCATATATGTTGATATTTGGTCCTGCTGTTTTTACGCTATTTAAGTTTAAAAATGCATTAACTTTACCCTAAATTAGATCTGACCCGGTTTCTTACATCAATGATAAGGCTTGCTCAATGCAATTTTAAAATTAAATAGCGCAAAAACAGGTGAACCAAATAGCAACATACATGATATATTTGGAATCAGAAGAAAAAAATCTATCATTCTAGTCAAAAATATACAGGGTGTATTTAAGAGAAATCCAAAAATTCCATTATTACAGTTGGCACCTGTCATTTGCCCTTTTTGACATTTGCAAAAGATAATAGAGATAAAACCCTACAACTTTTGTATTTAACTTTTTTTCAATTTTTTATTTGTTTAAGCTGTAGAAGCCGCACTAATTATAAGGAACAGGCCCTGTACAGTGTCCCCCATAATGTTCGCTACATATGGGAAATTTTTTTATTTGTAGAATATGGAACTTTTTCTTATATGCAATCGATCCTGCATGTTCAATAACCTAAAAGTACATTATGACATCGGTCACGTGATCACTGTTGTCGGGGCAAATTCGAAAATTTAGATAAAGAAACGCGAAAAGTGGGGTTAGATGGCAAATTATCCGAAAAAGTTATTTGAAAAAAGTGACTAGCACGATGTTTTAGGGCTGTCTGCGAAATTTGGAGCAAAAGCATAAAAAAATAGGAAAATACTTGTTTTTGGCCATGGATCTCTTATCAAATAATAATATACAGTTTTTATTATTGAAATAGTCCAAGTAGGTACCTCAATATTTATTATGTATTGACGAAACAAACTTAAATTCTTCATTGGAATCATTCCTAGAGAATTAAATAAAAATATTGGAATTGCTCATGAAACTTTTCTGTAGCAATACCCTGTATCTTGACAGTTGAGTAGGTACCGTAGTGTTTTAGAACTTCACTGAGATATCTATTCTTTCCAATTGTTGAATCAACAGTAAATTATTGAAAATCTCACAAACTGTCAAGATACAGGGTATTGCTACAGAAAAGTTTGATGTGCTAATCGAATATTTGCTTCCGCGATTGACGAGATTACTCCAATGATTGTGGAAATCTTAAATCCATTTTTGGTTGAACCTTTGAAACATATCATAAATTCTATGTTTGGAACGGGCATTGTTCCCACTATAGGTTTAAAGTCTCAATTGTTACCCCTATACATAAGGCAGGCAATAAAGATATGATCAACAATAATCGTCCCATAAGTGTAATCTCCAACATAAGTAAAATCTTTGAAAAATGTCTTAAAAAGCGATTAATAAGTTATTTTGAGACAAATAACATTTTAAGTTCAAACCAGTTTGGTTTCAGGGAGGGGGCGAGTACAACAGATGCAATGTATGAGTTGGTTAGTAAAATCACTGGGAGCCTGGATCGGGGAGACACATGCATTGCTGTGTTTCTGGATTTAGCGAAGGCGTTCGACACGGTGCCCCATGATAAACTTCTTGATGTTCTGGAAACATATGGCGTGACAGGCATCGTGTTGAACACCTTCAGTAGTTATCTTCAGGGAGAAGCGTACCCAGTATGTCAAGATTGAAAAGGTTTTGAGTGTCCCTGAAACTGTAAAGATCGGCATACCACAAGGAACAGTTCTGGGACCTGTTTTGTTTAATGCATATATCAACTCATTGTTTGGGCTTGAAATATCGGGTACTGCGATTGCGTATGCTGATGACTCGGTGCTCCTGTTTAGTGCTGAAACTTGGCTGGAATGCCGAGAAAAGGCGATTGTATTTATTCAGAAAATTAAGCATTTCTTGGATACTTTTAAACTATCACTAAATGTAGACAAAACTAATTACATATATCGCCTTTTCTTTTATTGAAGCGAACAGGTTTCATCACTATAAGGGACGACAGCATGCAGGCCTCTTTGGAAGAAGGTAATTGTCCAAATATCTAAGCATAATTATAGACAAACATTTAAAATGGGAAACTAATGGATTACATTTATGTAGAAAGACGCAATGTCTTATACACAAATTTTATCTCCTAAGAGAATTTTTGGATAAAAAAATACTAATATTGGTTTAGCTTTAACTGAACTACTCCTGAGATACGAATTACTAGTTTGGGGTCGTCTTCATAGTAGTAGGTACCTTACAACCACTCAGTGCTATCCAAAATAGTATTCTTCGCATGATCTTCAAAAAACCTATAGATTGTATCCAACAAAACTACTTTATTCGAGGGAAATATCCAATATTAGAACACTATGTAATAATGGTCTGCCTATTTGTTCATAAAAATAGAAATTTAAATACGAACTATGTACATAACTCATATGGAACTAGGAGTCACACAAATTTTTTGTTAAAAAATGTTCCATGTAGCAGACGTAACATAAACCAAAGGTATATTGATTATCTGGCGCAAAAATTTTACAATTGTTTGCCATTGGATTTGAGAATTGTAAAATCAAAAAATGCTTTTAGGAACATAGTGAAAGATCATATATTTCAGAGTATAGAGCAGTTTTTCCCTTCCTTCAAGGTTAGAGACTTATTTAAATTAATAAATAGCTGTTTCGATGCTAAATTCCTAATGTTTAGCTTAGGGCGTGAAAGATTAATGCAATTGATGCTAAAAATCCGATTGCTTTTTTACAAAACTGCACATACAGGTGTTTTATACACTTAGGTGCACCATACATTCTTGGAATAATTTTGTTAGGCTCTATGATTATTGTTACTCAAATTGTTTTTTTGTTTTTCAAGTTTATTTAATAAATACAAATACAAATAAATACAAAATATTTTAATTTAATTGTCTAGGAATGATTCCAATGAAGAATTTAAGTTTGTTTTACCAATACACATTAAATATTGAGGTACTTGGACTATTTCAATAGTAAAAACTGTATAATATTATTTGATAAGAGATCCATGGCGAAAAACAAGTAGGTAATTTCCTATTTTTTGTTGCTCTCGCTTCAAATTTCGTAGACAGCCCTAAAACATCGTTCTAATCACTTCTTTCAAATAACTTTTTCCTATATTTTGCCATCTAACCCCACTTTTCGCATTTCCATTTCTAAATTTTCGAATTTGCCGCCACAACAGTGACCGATGTCAAAATGTAATTTGAGGTTATTGGACATGCAGGATCGATCGCACATAAGAAAAAAATCCATATCCTACAAATAAAAGAAAAATCCCACATCTAGTGAACATTATGGGAGACACTGTATATTTAGTTAAACCAAATTGAAATTAAAACTACCAAAAGCATTCATTGGTTTTTGGTGCTATGGTAGGTATTAAAAATTATTGTCATATTTCTTGACCCAATGTTTAGATTTATTTAATAATCTGAGCGAGATATAAATTAACTACTAAGACAATTATTTAAAAAAATAACGAATAGGTACCTACTTACTAAATTAGACATTCAGGCTTCCCTTCGGAAAATTTCCTAAAAAAATTATTTTCATATAGGTACCCATGGATCTAGGTATGGTTTGCATTGATCTATTTCAAATTGTCCGTCCAAACATATCACAAGCTTAAAAACACAGCTATGCAATAACTCGTATTAAAATAAATGAAATTCAGTTATTTTACTTACATTTTATATTTCACCGTTGATTTTATAAAATAAATTCTGCTATGATACACACGCAGCGACTAGATTAAATTAGTTACCAAAAATTACTGTTCATAGATCATGTCGACCATTTACATGCAAGTCTTTTGGTAGGGGCAAAGACCATTCATTGTTTTTATCGCTTAAAAATTACTTTCTTAACGTATGGCCGGTTTTGAAAAGTCTAAAAAAACCTTTCTCTCTCTCTCTATGTTCCCCAATGAGAGCCGTTTGTCTATAGTCTATACGGTCCACCTTAAATTGTGGCCTAATGGTATTGTAAATCTTAATAGCCCTGTCACTTACTCTCACAATTATTTTTGTGTGCTCCACTTATTTTAATTCCCCGAGCTAATAATTTTGGTTCGTAAATCTAGATTTTTTTTTTAACTTGGGACAGATTCACTATATAACTCGCCACACTTTTTGATAAATCATCAGATGCAGATCTAAAATTGTATCAGCAACACCACAATGAGTCCTAAAAACGTTTTAGTATTTTTAACTTGCATCCTCAGTATTCAGTGTTTTGTTCTAGCAGAAGAAAAGGTACTTACTAAAAAAAGTGATAGAAGTGAATTTCAAAAATCTTTATCAAAAAATTGTGATGATTCATACTCTCTTACTTGTCTTAAATTAGATTTAGTATCTTGGGTAGACAAGTTAAGTGAAAATGAAGACTTGAGTGTTCTACCAGGCGTTTCAATAGTGCGCGAAAAAAATAGTGTTTCTCCAAGTACTGGTGATATAGTAACGGAACTAGCTCGTGAATTTCCCGATGATCCAAATGCCCGACTAGATGCTTTCCTGTTGAAAAAAGTTACAGGATTTTTAAATAATCACTCCGTCAAACTAAACCTTTGGAAATCTGCAGCTGAATCAGAATCAGCAGGTACCGCTCGTAAGAAGGACAAAAAAGGTGGCGATGGAGGAATGGGAATGATCCTAGCTGCAGGTGCGATGATGAAAGGTACCCTCTTTGCCCTTGCCCTAGGAGGCTTGGCAGCCCTTGCCGGAAAAGCGTTAATGACAGGTCTCATTTCCTTGTTATTATCAGCCATTGTTGGTCTTAAATCACTTTCCAGTGGAGGAGGTGGACATTCCACCTATGAAGTAGTCGCCAAACCTGTGTACACTTCATCTCACACCCATTCAACATCACATGAAGGCGGTTGGGATGGTGGTTATGGAGGTGGACACGGAAGAAGTATTAATGAAGCTTCATTGCCTTTGGCATTACAACAAGGATACAAGCCATCATAATAAGATAGAAAATATCAATTATTTATTTGTATTTATTTAATTAATATAGAATATTTATTCGTTTAAATTATTTTGCATTTGTTTCTAAAACGTCAGCTTATTATAAAATTGAAAAAAATTAGAAACCCCCTGTTTCAGATCAAATTTGGTTCTTAGTAGCCTTCTTTGTTGGTATGATGATGGCAATGTAGACCGTGAGCTGGGCACCTATGTTGAAGCTGTCGAATCGACAGTTCCAAATGCTACGTCAATATTTGCATTTGTCGAAAAATCATTACCGAGGTAATGCCAGTATTCTATATTCTGTTTCCTTTTCCTTAGTAGCACTGGGGGCAAAACAGGGTCGATAAAAGCGATTAACAATAGGCAGCTATAAGACCCAGGTAACTATAAGGTTGGGTTATTATCTGATGGAAATTCAGTATGAATTTAGCACAAAAGTGGTATATGCATACTATACATGCCTGTCTTCATTGTAAAGGATAACGCACACCTAACATGAGATTTTTAGGCTGTATGGATTTTGCCCATTTTTTGATATGTCGTAGAGGATTTAATTTTTAACAACTTTTAAATGAGACGAAATCTTGTAGGTATTACGATCTTTGAGATATGAGCGTTGAAACATGAACTTTTTTGCGACATTTTGTGTGGAGAGTAGGTATACGAAATACTGGTGTTTATCAGTCAAAATATTGACAGGTTCACATATTTTACGTCACTAACAAATGTCAACATAGGCTAAGGCCAGGATCGCACTGGCGCCAACATTGACCCCAGTGTGGTCCCGGCCTTAGCCTATGTTGACATTAATTTGTTAGTGACGTAAAATATGTGAACCTGTTAATATTTTGACTGATAAATAGCAGCAGTATTTCGTATACTCTCCACACAAAAAGTCGCAAAAAAGTAAATCTTTCAACGATCATATTTCATAGACCGTAATACATACAAGATTTCGTTCCATTCAAAGGTTGTTAAGAATTAAATCCTCTACAACATAACAAAATTAGGCAAAATCCATAGAGCCCAAAAATCCCATATTAGGTGTGCGTTATTCTTTATTGTAAAAATATCGACAGGCTTTAATCCAGTAAAATGAAAGGTCATTATTCATTCCAAAGCCAGGAATATAGTATTGCTTGTACATGATGCACTTGTGCATCAGATGCCTTCAAGTACTATCCGATGTATAGTCTCCACATGTGCCAATAGGACAGGAATCAGTGAACCAACAATCTATAGACGTCTTAGCGAAAAAGTAAGTAAACTGTGGGAAGTTGATTAAAAAATATTCCGGGAGAAAACGGATAGAAGTTAACGAACTAGCAAGAAGAATGATACGAAATAAAGTAGGTACCTACATTCGTTTCATTTGAATAAAGGGATCCCAACAATAGATAAAATATTAGTAATAATAAGGGCGGACGAGAATATACCATAAATAAGACGAAAAAAATTGTGGAAAACATTTATTTATTTATTTAAATGCAATTACATGCAAGAGAGTGCCTACTACTAACAGCAACTAAAGCTAAAACTAAAAACTAAGGAATAAAAAACTAAGAAATGAGAAACAAATAGCGGTTATAATTATAATTATTAAAATATTTACATTTATAAAATTGTTTAAAAGATCGCAGATTGAAATCACATTTGGCAAAACAAGCCCTTATTGCTCTTGCACTTGTATTAAAAAGATCTATAGTATATTTTTCAACAAAATTGTTACAACCTGCATGAAGTTAGCAGGCGAACAGTCCAATGGATTAAAACAAAAGAGTTTTCTATTTTGTATCCTTAAATTGATTTTAGGTACATCAAACTTGAAATAATTGACAAAGCAGAATATCTTATACTTATCATTATCAATAACTGAAAATACAAACAATACTGTATGCAAGTTCCTTCATTCCTGCAATGTTTGAAAATTAAAAGTATTCAGCAAACACCTGTAAGAGACAAGGTAGGGATATGCATTGTGCTTCCGCACATATCATCCACCTTATCACGTAGGAGCGTATCTAACACAAAAGTCTAAAATTGCGTTTTCAACAAATTTAGGCTTTTCTGAGGTACACTTTTGATCTCACGAAATGGCGTCACGGTATCTGTTATAGTTTCCTTTAGAAGACTTATCTTATTCTGAAAGAAAAAAATATGTCACGTAGAGACGTATATGCAAACTTTATTTTTTTCCAAAAAATCTATAAAAGCCATCATAGATCCAGTACCTCATATTTATGAGAGCATATACATAAGGTTTTAGTGTAGAAAAATGACCATGATCTGTTTGAAAATGAAAACACCAGATAACATTACAAATAGTGCGTTTTACATTTTTATCGTCTTCTGAAATAAATTACGAATTTCGATACGCCACTACGTGATAAGGGGGACGATATAAATATTTCAAAAATCTCTTCTGTACTTTCTCGATAGGGTTAGTATGAAAATCAGTCTGTGGTGCCCAGATTACTGACGCATACTCAAGGTGAGGTCTAACCAATATGTTATAAAGTCTTATTATTGTATTATTGCTATGAAAATTCTTTGAATTCCTCATCACAAAACAAAGCATTCTATAGGCCTTATTCACGATCTCATCATAATGAGCGTTGAATTTGAGATTGGACTGTCGATGCACTCCCACATCCCTACATTTATTTTTCCTAGCAAGCAAGCAATACATTATCAATTGTGTAATCGTAGTTGATGATATTATGTTTCCGTGAAAAGGTCATTACTGCGCACTTATCAATATTCAAAGACATATAATTTTTTTCGAACCACAATGATACCCGATTCGAGTCACTTTGCAATTCACAACAATCCGTTTCGCTTCTTCTTATCCGCCTAAATATTTTAAAATCATCAGCAAAAATAAGACTGGATGAAAAATGAAGACTATCAGGCAAGTCATCGATGAACATTAAGAAGAGTAGGGGACCCAAGTTACTACCCTATGGAACTCCTGAGATGGCCAGGAGTCTAGAAGATAGACCTTTGCCCACCTTAACCCGCTGGAATCTAGATTTCAGATATGAGGCAAGCAACAGACACGCATCCCGGGAAAAATTAAAACAGCTTCGCTAAAAGAACACCATGGTTGACCCTATGAAATGCTTTTGCGCAGTCATTCAAGACCAAGTCTAACTGGCCTTTTTCATTTATTGCCTGCGAGGCATTGGCTAGTACGAATAGATTGGTTGTTGTTGAACAATCAGGCAAGAAACCATGATAGTTCAGAGAGAACTTGCCCAATAAATACTGGAGTAAATCATTGTATAAGACTGATTCGTATATTTTTGCCAAAACGTTTAGGATAGTTATAGGCCTATAATTCTCAATTCCATTATTATTGTGTCCAGCTTTTAAAATTGGGGTTATAATTGAATCTTTCAGTTAAATTTTTGCTGGGAGAAGCAGAGCAGAAAATCGATTTTGATTGACAAAGAAGAAATAATCTGTTGGAGGAGACAATATCTAAGAGATAATAGAAAGTATAGAAGAGCCAAAAAAAAAGAATTATTACTTGGACGATGTAACGCTTTTTTGTCGAAACAAAAGAATGCTCATAATTGTGCTCGAATATGCTCAGTGGTTCTTTAGCTTGGGATGGTCCTTGGTGTTGGTACAGTAAAAAGAGGGCGCCACTAGTTTGTATAAAATTATTTTAATTATAAAAGAATAGCCAAACTAGACACTATTCAAATAATTAGCTATTATTTAAAGAGATAAATACAAAACTCTGAAAAAGTAAAACAAATCCAATACCTATCTGACATTTAACTCCTTCAATAAAAACACAAGCATTGGAATTCTAAAAACAATAATTTATTGATCAGATGGCGAACTTGTTGTTCATTAACAATTTGTTGACCGGATGGCGAACTTGTTGTTCATCAAGATTGAAACAAATAAATTGTTCAAAGCTGAATATTGTTCAGTATCCAATTTTATTTAAAAAAAAAAAAATTAAGCAAAACTTAATTTAAATAGGTATATAAAAAGATTGAAATTTAAAAACAATTAAATAGATACCTACGATGAGAATTACCTAAGTATAAATGTTGGAGTCAAAATAAAATTAACCTTTAGTTTTTGACTCAAAGTCAATCAAATCAATGAAAAACAAATTAATCAATGCAGAAAGGTAATAAATAATCCCTAGGCAGTTATAAATATCAAAAACCTGCTAAATGAAATCAAGGGGTAACGGTTTCCGGAAGAGCTCTACCTTCTTACCTTTAAAGTTCAAAATAGGTACACATAAAACTTAAAGGATGATGCACACTTTAAATGGAATTTTAAAAAATCCACGATTTTGATGAAATTTTGGCATGTTGTAGATCCCGATCTTCTGATCAAAAGTTCTCATGGGCCCAAGATGATCCGATTACTGGTTTTCGAAATACAGTGGCGGGTATGGGGCTACCCAAAATCCGAGTAAATAGAAATTCTTTCGCAAAGAGTAAACTTTAATACAAAAAGTGTTAAAATTGATTGAATCCTATTTTTATTGGCCATGGTAGATGTCAGGAGACAATTTCTATCTACAGGGGGTACATAAATAATATAATCCTTCTGTCTGATTCATACTTTTCATACAGAAATCGGACGTTCAAGTTAAACTAAAATAAAATAATATGATATGAACATTTCCACCCTAGTCTTGGGCGCAAATGTTACTGGAAATTATATAGGTAGTACCAAGATACGCCGTCTAGGGTACCTAAAAAGACTTGCAAATAACTCTGAGGTCGGTTCAAGACGGTATAACTAGCTATTGGGATCCATGAAAAAAAGGGTTTTCATGAAAATATGAACATTTCCACCCTAGTCTCGGGCACAAATGTATACTGGAAGCTCTACGCAGTACCAATATACGTCGTTTAGGGTGTCTACAAAGACTTGAAAATAACTTTGAGGGTGGTTTAAGGGGGTAAAACTAATAATCGCGATTCATCGAAAAAAGGGTTTTTGTGAAAATATGGACA